GAACTAGAAGATCTGGATTCTAGCCCCAGGTCTGCTACTTTCTATCTGTTACTTTGGTTAAGTTAATTAACCTTTCTGAAGCTCAATTTTTTAATCTTTAAAGCAAGAAGATTGAACTAGGGGATCACTAAAGTTTTGTTCAGATTTAGTATTTTATAGGCAAAATGCAATTTTTATTGAGCTACTGTGAGCAATGCTCTGTACAGTCTATCATGTTATTTTTTAAAAATAAAAAACTTCAACTGGATCCACAATGGCAAAGGAGTAAGTAGAAAGTACACTAACCTTCTCCCAGGACCAATCTGGAATAACAACTAAATTTTAGAGAAATCATATGGAATAAACAACTAAACAATAGCAGGAAAGAAGCCTTATAACCACAGATAGACAGACGAAACAGCTTCATTGCAACATGACTGGTACGTAAGGAACAGGAGATGCAAGAGGACTGGCTGAGCTATCACATGAGGCAGCTGAAGTACTGGAGGGATATTTCAGTTGCCAGAGGTGTCCTCCTGAGAAGTGTGAGGTCTAAACTCCAAGCTGGACTTCCCAGCCTATAGCCCCAGAGCCCCAAAAGAACCCAGATAATATCCAGCTGAGAAAAAATGACAGGGTTTCTCTGTGCCAGAGACAGATGACTGGAGTCACACAGAGCCTTTTAAAGGGTCAATGCATAAAATTTTATTTGTAGCCACTTACCTTGGGCTCTGGCAAATGGGGTATGCAGAGGAGACTGGAGGTGTTTGTAGAGAGGCTGGGGATAGTAGCTTTGGGGAGAGAACTGAGAAAGCAGCCACCAGGATCCTGGTGCTGGGACATCCCCCATACTGCTGGAGCTATATTGCTCAGACAGTCCACCCTTTCTGAGTGATATTAGCTGCAGGGGAAGCAATAGCCCCACCCACAGGATTTACTCTGCTACAACCTGTGGTACTTAAGGCTGACTGTAAAGTACAGAGTGAATAGATTAACTGAAGGAGTCAGCCCTAGATAGTGGACCCCCTGTAATCTTCAACAGACTGCCTAAGGCCAGACTGGAAAACCATCTGACATCACCAGAGGTGGACCCAGAAAGAAAAAATACAGTGGTAAATACTAGATGCTACTGATATGAATTCCACTGCACTCTTCTTCATGATTGCAATATATTCTTTCCTGCACAGCTTTTTAACATTCATTTCTTGTCCTTCAAGCTTGTCCATATGAAGTCACTAGATTTTATATTATAGTTTATTTCAAATCTCATATTTTGCTCCTCCCTTCTCTTATCCCATTTTACCTTCTTTTCTTATTTTCATTTTAAATTCTATTTCTCCCTTGCTACCAGTTGTTTTCATTCCACACTATTTCTCCCCCGTCCAGCCTCTAAAAATTATTTTTCTTGTCATTGATCACCTCACATTCTTTTTCCCACTCTTAAAATACCCTTGTACTCTCCCCACCTTTATCCGTCTTTGCTCATTAGTTGTGGATAAAGTGGTGGTTGTCACATTTCTGCCATTTTATCACTAGATCACTATTTGATATTACAAGTCTCAAATTTTAACATTCCCCTCTCTTACTCAATACTACCTTCTCTTGTCTTTCTATTTTTGTATCAAATTTTAATTCTCCCCTGTCTTAGCCTAGTTTTCATTCCTCACTCTTAGTATTCCTTCTCCCTCTATCATCTCAAAACTACTTCCCTTTCCTCTAGAGAGCTCTTAAGCTTTTCTTTCTTTTTTTTCCTTCTTATTCCCATCCCACTTATATTAATCTTAGCTCATTTGTTGTTGATAATGCTGTAGTGAAACTTTTTCTTCAATTTAGTTCCTCTTTTTAATTTATTGACTCATTTTTCCTTTTTCTTTCATTCCCTCTCAATATATTTTTTAAATTTCTGCTTAAACCTGATAGTATACACTTCCTTTCTCTTGCTCCATTCTGTCTTCTTCATTCCCTTGTTAATTTACAACATAAATTTTGCTTTCTCTCTTGCCTTGCTCTGATTGCCTGCCCTTATTATTGCTCCCCCATCTACACTCTCAAAATCATTTTTCTTTCAGTTAGCTATCTTATATTCATTTCTCCTTTCTTATAACAGCCTTAATCTCTTTACACTCTTATTAATACTGACTCATTTGCTGTTAATATTGGGATTGTGGGTGGGGTGTATTTTTTGCAGGTGTGGAGTTTTTTCCTGGATTGTGTGGTTTTGTTCTGACAGCATCTTCACAACAGAATACAAGATGTGGTGGGTAGAGTGACTTTCAGTCAGTCAGCTGGAGGGAACAACCTACCAAAAAATGACCCCATGGAAAAAAACATTAAAACCAGGTAGCCAACATAAACAGCATAAAGGTCATCCCAAAGACATCAGGTTCAAGATTTCAAGAAGACTGCACCACTGAATTCCACAGATCTTCTAGCATTGAAGATTACACCATGAAGACAGGGTGTCAGAGCAGATCAATCTAAAAAGCAGAAAAACAAGAGTACCCAAAATGGGGGAACAAAGAAACAACCACCAATTGTAAAAGAAGGAAACCAAAGAAAGAGTACTAAATGAAGGAGAGGCAAGTAAACTATCAGACATTGAGCTCAAAACAATAGTTATAGGAAAACACAATGAGCTCAGTAAGAACTACAAAGAACTACAGGGAAGCTGCAATGAACTTATTGTAAACTAAGTCAGCATGAAAAAGGACATAGAAACTACTAATAAGAGCAAGAAGGAAATGAAGAACACAATTTCTGAATTTCAGAACACAGTAGAATGAATTAAAAACAGGCTAGATGAAGCAGAGGATGGATTTAGCCAGCTAGAGGACAAATTAGAATAAAAAAAAAATCCCAAACAGAGCAATAAAATGAAAGTCTCAGAAAGAATGAGAGGGTTTAAGGGAGCTACAGGACAACATGAAATGCAATAATATCTGTATCATTGGAATACCAGAAGGAGAAGAAGAGGAGCAAAGCATAGAAAACCTGTTTGAAAAAGTAATGAGAGAAACCTTACCTAAATTGATGAGAGAAAAAGCCACACAAGTCCAGGAAAGAGAGAGGGTCCCGATCAAGATGAATCTGAAAAGGCCTACTTCAAGACACATCATAACAAAAATGGCAAACTTTATTTTTTTAATTGTTTTATTGTTGTTCAATTACAGTTGTCTGTATTTTTCCCCAACCCTTCCTGCCACCCCCTCCAAACCCACCTCCCTCCCTTGCTCCCACCTTCCCCCTTGGTTTTGCCCATGTGTCCTTTATATTAGTTCCTGAAGACCCTTCTCTTCTCTGTCCCATCCTCCTTCCCCTCTGGCTATTCTTAGATTGTTCTTATTTTCAATGACTCTGGTTATATTTCATTTGACTTTTTTCTTCTGTTGATTATGTTTGAGCTAAAGGTGAGGTCATATAGTATTTTTCCCTCACCACCTAGCTTACTTCACTTAGCATAACACTCTCCAGTTCCATCCATGCTGTCATAAAGGGTAGGAGCTCTTTCTTTCTCACTGCTCTGTATAATTCCATTGTGTATATGGACCACAGTTTTTTGATCCACTCATTTACTGATGGGCATGTAGGCTGCTTCCAGCACTTGGCTATTGTAAATTGTGCTGCTATGAACATTGGGGTGCACAGCTTCTTTTGGATTGGTGTTTCAGGGCTCTTAGGGTACAATCCCAGCAGTGGAATTGCTAGGTCAAAAAGCAGTTCCATTTTTAGTTTTCTGAGGAAATTCCATACTGTTTTCCACAGTGGCTGCATCAGTCTGCATTCCCACCAACAGTGCACTAGGGTTCCCTTTTCTCTGCATCCTCTCCAACACTTGTTTGTTCATGTGTTTATATTGGTCATTCTGATGGGTATGAGGTGGTATCTCATTGTGGTTTTAATTTGCATCTCTCTGATGGCTAGTGATATTGAGCATCTTTTCATGTGTCTCTGGGCCCTCTATGTCCTCCTTGGAGAAGTGTCTGTTCAAGTCTTTTGACCATTATTTAATTGGGTTTTTTGTCTTCCTGGAGTGGAGTCAGGTGAGTTCTTTATATATTTTGGAGATCAAACCCTTGTCTGAGGTATGAATGGCAAATGTTTTCCCATTCAGTTGGCTCTCTTTTTATTTTAATGCTGCTTTCTTTAGCCATTCAGAAGTTTTTTAATTTGATGAGGTCCCATTTGTTTATTATTTCCTTTATGTCCTTTGCTTTAGGAGACATATCAGTGAAGAGGATGCTGCATGGTATGTCCGAGATTTTCCAGCCAATGTTTTCCTCTAGGACTTTTATGGTGTTATGACTTATATTTAAGTCTTTTATCCATCTTGACTTTATTTTGTGTATGGTGTAAATTGGTGATCAAGTTTCATTTTTTTGCATGTAGCCACCCAGTTCTCCCAACACCATTTGTTGAAGAGGCTATTATTGCTCCATTTTATGCTTCTTCCCCCTTTTTTAAATATTAATTGACCATAGAGTCTTGGGTTTATTTTGGGGCTCTCCATTCTGTTCTATTTGTCTATGTGTCTGTTTTTATGCCTGTACCAGATTGTTTTAATTACAATGGCCATGTAATACAGTTTGATATAAGGTATTGTGATTCCTCCTGCTTTGTTCTTCTTTTTCAAAATTATTCCAGCTATTTGGGGTCATTTATGGTTCCATATAAATTTTTGATATGTTTTTTCTATATCTGTGAAATATGTCATTGGTACTTTAATTGGGATTGTATTGAATCTATAAAACACTTTGGGCAGTATGGCCAAAAAATGGCACAATTTAAAGATGAAGATATAATCTTAAAAGTGGCAAGGGACAAACAGCAAGTTACATACAGGGGAGATCCAATAAACCTAGCAGCTAACTTCTAAACAGAAACACTACAAGCCACAAGGGAATGATAAGAAATATTCCAAGTAATGAAAAGTAAAGGCCTGTGACGAAGAGCACTCTAACCAGTAAGACTCTCATTTACAGTGGATGGCAAGTATAGGAACTTCCTAAACAAAAAAAAGGGGGGTTCACTTTGACAGCATATATACTAAAATTAGAATGATACTGAGAAAATTAGCTTGGCTGTTGCACAAGAATGACATACAAATTTGTGAAGCATTCCATATTTTTACCAGAGCCAAGAGGAAATGAAGAACACAATTACTGAATTGAAGAACACAATAGAAGAATCAAAAGCATGAAATGCTTTTGAAGCACTTGAAGGTGACATGAAGCAGAAGATTGAATCAGTGAGCTAGAGGACAAGGTAGAAAAAAACACCCATAAAAAGTAAGAAAAGGAAAAGAGACTCAAAAAAAAAAAGGAAGAGGGGTTAAGGGAACACCTGGACAGCATGAAACATATTAATATTCTTATAATAGGGATACAAGAAGAAGAAGAAGAAGAAGAAGAAGAAGAAGAAGCAGCAGCAGCAGCGGAGGAAGTGATAGAAAACCTGTTTGAAAAAGAGATGATGAAAACTTCCCTAATTTGATGAGAGAAAAACTCACATGTAAGTCCAGGAAGCTCAAAGAGTACCAATCAAGAGGAACCAAAAGAGGCCCACTTCAAGACACATCATAATTAATATGGTAAAATTCCAAGACAAAGAGAGAATCTTAAAGGGAGAAAAAAATAGTAACATACAAGAGAGCCCTGATAACACTAGCAGCTGATTTCTCAATGGAAATGCTATAAGCCAGAATGGATTGGCAAGGAATATTTCAAGTAATGAAAGACAAAGGCCTACAACCAAGGTTACTCTATTCAGCAAGGCACTCAATTAAAATGGAAGGCCAAATAAGGAGTTTCCCAGACAAAAGAAGCCTCAAAGAATATACCTTCTCCAAACCAGCCCTGCAAGAGATGCTAAAGGGTATGCTTTAAGAAAAGGGGAAAAGAGAGAGTAAGAGAGAGAGGAACATAGGCATACTGGTGATGCAGACCCCGGCTTATGGGACCAAGTCCTGTGGAGGAAAAGGGACAACATGGCTTCTCTTTCAGGAGGAGAAAAAACCTTGGCCCTTGCCTTGACCAGCCTTTATTTCCTTTCTGGGCACATTACATGATGGTCCTCATTTACCATGCACAGGTTTGCTTTAGGTGGTTACCTTTTACAGAAAACAAAGGAGATGCTGTTGCTAATCACATCACAGAAGAAGAATATTTGCAAATGCAAAGGGAAAAGTGGTTGAACTGGCAACACTCCATACTGGGGGTGTTTAGCACAGACTTTAGGAAGTTACAGTAAGCCCTTGCTGCCTCAATTCAGGGTGAGGGAGTTTTAGCAAAAGCAAGTCTTATAGCATTCTAGGTGCATAGCAGACCTGATTCCCCATGGAAGAACCTATCTGTGGGCATGGGTCCTGTGCATCAGACCTTGCTTTCCACTGGGAGCTGGGCCTATGCCACACAGAATGGTCTCCTACACAAAGGAAGTAAAATGTCAATGAATAAGTACCTGTCAATAGTAACCTTGAGCGTAAATGGATTGAATGCTCCAATTAAAGACATAGAATAGCTGAATGGATAAGAAAATATGATCCATATGTATGCTGTCTACAAGAGACCCACTTCAGAATAAAAGACCTATACAGACTGAAAATAAAGGGTTGGAGAAAAATATTCAAAGCAAATGGACAGGGGAAAAAAAGTAAAGTAGAAATACTTATATCAGACAAAATAAACTTCAAAACAAGGCCATAAAAAGAAACACAGAAGGAAACTTTATAATACTCAAGGGAAAAATCCATCAAGAAGACATAAACAGACGTCCGGCCAAGACAGAGGCATAGGCAGACACTCAGTGCCTCCTTGCACAACGAAGATAGGGACAACAACAATTTAGAAACAGAATAACAACCAGAACTGACAGAAAAATTTAACTGTATGGAAGTCAGACAACCAAGGAGTTAAAATAGACAGGTTCATCCAGACCAGTAGGAGGGGCGGAGTCGGGCAGCTTGGCAGATAAGGGTCATGTGGCACAAAGAGTGTTGGTATCAGGCGCATAAGACCACAGCGGGTGGACCCTGGGTGTGCAAGTGGCAGCTGGCCAACCCCAGCCAAGGGGTGGCAACCCACAGACCCTGCAAGGAGGTGATTGTGAAGCAAGGCAGTGTGCACAACCCAAGATCCCAGTGATGAGAAACAGAGCCTTGGGGCACTGATTGAAATCACTTATGGGGGACTGAGGCACAGGGAGAGACTCCCAGCCTCATAGAAGAGGTCATTGGAAAGACCCATGGGGTGCACAAGCCCACCCACACAGGAATCAGCACCAGGAAGGACCAGTTTACTTGAGGGAAGCAGCAGAAGAGACTAAAGTCCACAGAGAGCAGAAAAAGCACCATTGTTCCCTCTCAGACCCCACACCCACATATAGCCTCACAACCCAGTGACTGGATTGCCCCACCCTGGTGAACACCTAAGGCTCCGCCCCTCATAGTTAACAGGCACAACCAAACCAAACAAAAAAAAGATGGCTCAAACAGAACAAGAAAGGAAAGCCCCAGAATCAATCCTTTTAAGCGACCAAGAGATAGCCAACCTATCAGATGCACAGTTCAAAGCACTGGTGATCAGGATGCTCACAGAATTGGTTGAATTTGGTCGCAAACTAGACGAAAAAAATGAAGGCTACCCTAAGTGAAATGAAGGAAAATACACAGGGAACCAATAGTGATGGAAAGAAAGCTGGGCCTCACATCAATGGAGTGGACAAGAAGGAAGAAAAAAGCATACAATCAGAAAAGAATAAAGAAATAAGAATTCAAAAAAAATGAGGAGAGGCTTAGGAACCTCCAGGACATCTTTAAACGTTCCAACATCCGAATTATAGGGGTACCAGAAGGAGAAGAGGAAGAGCAACAAATTGAAAACTTATTTGAACAAATAATGAAGAAGACCTTCCCCAATCTGGCAAAGGAAATAGACTTCCAGGAAGTCCAGGAAGCTCAAAAAGTCCCAAAGAAGCTGGATCCAAGGAGGAACACACCAAGGCAAATCATAATTACATTAGCCAAGGTAAAAATGAAGGAGAAAATCTTAAAAACAGCAAGAGATAAAGAGACAGTTACCTACAAAGAAGTTCCCATCAGACTGTCAGCTGATTTCTCAAAGGAGACCTTGCAGGTAAGAAGGGGCTGGAAAGAAGTATTCCAAGTCATGAAAGGCAAGGACCTGCAACCAAGATCACTCTATGAAGCAAAGCTTTCATTTAGAATGGAAGGGCAGATAAAGTGCTTCTCAGATAAGGTCGAGTTAAAGGAGTTCATCATCACCAAGCCCTTATTTTATGAAATGTTAAAAGGACTTATCTAAGAAAAAGAAGATGAAAAACATGTATAGTAAAAGGACAGCAAACTCACGATTATTAACAACCACACCTAAAACAAAAACAAACTAAGCAAACAACTAGAACAGGAACAGAACCACAGAAATGGAGATCACATGGAGGGTTAGCAACAGAGGAGTGGGAGGAGAGGAGAGGGGCAAAAGTTATGGAGAATAAGCATAGATGGTAGGTAGAAAATAGATAGGGGAGGGCAAGAATAGTATGGAAATGTAGAAGCTAAAGAACTTATGACACATGGACATGAATTAAAGGGGGGGAATGTAGGTGGGAGAGGGTGGGCAGGGTGGAGGGGAATGGACGGGGGTTAATGGGACAACTGTAATAGCATAATCAATAAAATATATTTTTAAAATATAAGACATAAACATTGTAAACATATATACAGCCAACATAGGAGCACCCAAACATATAAGGGAGATCTTGGAGGACTTCAAGAAAGATATAGACAGCAACATACTTATACTAGGGGATTTAATATCTCCTTTTAAACAATGGATAGCTCTTCCAAACAAAATATCAAAAAAGATATTGCAACATTGAACAATGCCCTAGATCAAATGGACTTAACTGATTATATATATATGTATATAACATTTCACTCCAAAGGCGTAAAATACACATTCTTTTAAGTGCACATGGAACATTTTCAAGGATAGACCACACGATAGGACACAGAAAAAGCCTCAACAAATCCAAGAAAATTGAAATCATATCAAGCATCTTTTCAGACCACAAGTGCCTGAAACTAGGAACCAACCTCAAGAAAAAAAACTAAAAAATATTCAAATTTATGGAAACTGAATAGCATGCTATTAAAAAAATAAATGAGTAAATTAGTTCAAGGAAGAAATCAAAAAGCTGCCGGAAACAAATGAAAATGAACATACAACAATCCAAAACTTATGGGATACAGCGAAAGCAGTCCTTAGAGGGAAGTTCATAGCGATACGGGCCTATCTAAAAAAGACAGAAACATTTCAAATAAATGAAATAACCCTACATATACAAGAACTGGAGGAATAACGACATACAAAGCTCAGAGCAAGGAGAAAGAAGCAAATAACCAAGATTAGAGCAGCATTATATGATATAGAGATTAAGATAACAATTCAAAGGATCAATAATTTCAGGAGCTGGTTCCTTAAAAAGATAAAATTCACAAGTCTTTAAGCAGACTCATCAAGAAAAAATGAGAGAAGACCTAAATAAATAAAATTATAAATGAAAGAGAAGTTACAACTGATAACACAGGAAAAGAAAGGATGGTAAGATTACTATGAACAACTATATGCCAAAAAAATTTGAAAACCTTAGTGAAATGGAAAAATTTCTAGAAACATATAATCTTATAAACAAAATATAATCATATATATATGATTATATAATCATATATAATCATATAATCATATAATCATATAAACATATAAACAAAGTTATAAACAAGTTATATAATCATATAAACAAAACTGAATGAAGAAGAAGCACAAAGACTGAACAGACTTATAACACCTGCTGAAATTAAGGTAGTAATCAAAACTCACAGCACACAAAAGCCCTGGACTGGACTTTTCCTTATACTTCTCAGATGATTCAAAAAAAATCCAAGAAAAGGGAAGACTCCCAAATTCTTTTTATGAGGCCCACATCATCCTAATCCCAAAAGCAGATAAAGACATAGTGAAGAAAAATACAGGACAATAACACTGATGAACATAGACACTAAAATCCTCAACAAGGTATTGGTAAACCTCATCCAGCAATACACTAAAAAGAT